GCTGTAACAAAAAATATGACTACACGGTGAGAAAGTATGTGTTTAAGAAGAAAAAAAAGAGTCAGCTAGTTTTGATAGTTCGAAAGTGGTTTCAATGATTCAAGAATAGGAAAAGATAGAACTTTAATATTTAGGATGATAAAAATTTAAGGCCAGTCTTTCTAGGAAGGGTTTCATCGTAAACCTCAAGAAACTGTAAAATATTCAGAATTATGTAAAAAAATTAAAAATTTTACCTCCTTGCCTAGTGTGGATATAAGCATTAGTATGTGTGAGTTTCAGCAACAACAACAAAAAAATACAGAAAGTTTTAGGAACAAATTTAGAACTGTAAACCTAATAATTATGCTCCCTAAGTATACACACACAAAAAACCTGTCTTCTGAGTCACAACAAAGTATTATTTTAGAAGGCAGAGAGTAATTTGAGAACACAACTGATTATATGTTTAATTTACCTGGTTGGAAAAAATAAACTTTTAGTATGCCTAAAAAAGAAATGTAACTATTTAAACCAATGCAGGTTTTTTCTTATTTAAATATCTAAGTGGGAAAAAAAATCCAAATTATTTTCTGCTCAAAATCCAGGATAATATTTTAACCGAAACCCCTGCCAAGCAAAGGAGTTTACTTAACTATAGCGACAAGGCTGAACTTCACCTGAACCCTGTGCTCCAAGGTAAACAGGGATGGCTAAGAATTCTCCCCATCCTTTTGCTTCCTAAGAAATAACTAACTTCAATGGTCCACGTGACCCTCACATATAAGGCACATCTCCATCCTTTCAGAGGACTCATGTAAAATTCATGATGCTTCTCTTGCTTACCTGCTTCTACAAAACCCCAAATTTCCTTCCTCGTCATGTGTCTCATTAATGAAGGTTCTCCTGTTGCAATAGTCTGAATAAAATCATCCCCTTAATTGGTGCATTTGTCTTTGACAAAGCTATAGTAATCAAAACAGTATAGTATTAAGTGTTAGATCTTGACTACAAATATAGAGGACAATTTGGTGACAGAAAGGGGGGAGACGTTTAGGGGGCTGGGAGAATGGGGTGAAGGGTTAAAGAAGTACAAATTAGGAGTTGATAGATGGTCACGGGGATGGGGAGCGCGGCATGGTGAATGCGGTCAGCATTAATATATGGCCTAGGTGGAAAACCAGAGGCAAGAAGGAACAATTAGGGGGATCGTTTTGTAAACTATATAAATGTCTAACCAACGTACTGTATACTTGAAACCAATAAAAAAAATCTTTTTAATTAAAAAAAGAGATCTTAAAAGTTCTATCACAAGCTAAAAAAATTGTAATTACAGGGGAAAAAAACATTATGGTGTTGGCATAAAGACAGACATAGACTAATAATAGGACGGAATAGAGAGACCAGAAAAAAATCCTGCCATACATGGTGAAATGATTTTTAACAAAGGTTTCAGGACCATTCGATGAGGGAAGAACAGTCTTTTCAACAAATGGAGCTGGGAAAACTGGATATCCACATAATCTGAGATTCCTTACAGAAACTTCCAGCAAAGTAAATTTAAAAAGGCCTATGTGGTCAATTACCATTCTCGCTGCATTTATATAAATAATCAGGTCAAATCTAATGAGACCACACTAACTTTGTAAACAAGAATCAAAAACGGGGGGTGACTTTTTATGAGAGGCATTTTATGTCTCAATGGAAAAGTATAGCATGTCTTTATGGGTCATTAGATTCTAGTTCTACTCATTGTGTTTGAGCTACTTTTCCCACTTGGTAAACTACATTTTACTTTTTATTTTATCAGCCTGTAAATTAGACTGGATTCTGTCACCTTGTACATTTTGTTCAGCAACTACCCAGCTCTCATTTCTTCCAGTTTCCTTCAATGTCCGGCTACAACTCTCCAAATTAACATTTCCGATTTTTTTCCTGCCTCCTGATTTGGCATCACTGGGGACTAAAACTGCCCACTTCCCAAAGCCCCACAAGCCGAAGCTACACGACTTGATTAAAACTTCAAAGAAATCAATACAACGGGCCACGTAAGGGCAGCATTCGTGCCTGGAGTTGCTGCTGTGTGTGCCACTCAGGATGCTATGAGCTCGAGACCTAGAATTCCTCGCCGCTGGCTGCCCTACTAACAAGTCTCAGCAGAGGGTTCGGCTGGTCCTTAACAAACAAAAGGTGACCAAATGGAAAATGGCCTTACGTCGTTCAAAAAACAAAGAGCGTCTAGTCTTTCCTTGATCAACGGAAAGGACAGATGGGAAATCGGGATCAAGATGGAGGAGTAGGAAGGTCTGAGCTCACCCCCTCCCACAACACCCCCAAACTACAGCTACATACGAAACAGCTATCACTGAGAACGACCTGAAAACCAGCAGGACAGAATTTCTACAACTAAGAATATAAGGAAAAAGCCACATCAGGACGGGTAAGAGGGGCAGAGACGCAGTCGAGTCAGGACCTGCAAGCGCAGTGTGATAACGTGTGAGTGGGAGGGGTATCACAAGTGCAGAGTCCACCCTGAGGGCCGCAGGGTCTGAGCCTTGCCTCAGTCCCAGCCCAGCAGACCCAGGCGGAGTCTGGAGCTCTCCATAATATCTGGCTACGGAACACAGTGGGGCCTATGTTTGTGAGAACTGGGGATGGAAGTGCTGGCGGGTATCATTTTTTCCAAATTCTCCTTTCACCCAGCTGTCCTGGCACTGGTGGGCGCCACTTCTGACACTCTCGATTAATCCTGCTAACAGTGTTCAGCCCACACTGGCGTTTTGGAGGTCCTACCTACCCCACCTGCTGCCTCAACTGGCACCCCTCCCAAGTGGCTCCCGATCTAGGGGGCGAGCCCCGAACACCAGTGCACCTGCAGCAGTTGTAGGACGAAAAAGACTTTAAAACAAAGGCTATACTAAGAGATAAAGAAGGACATGCTATAATGATAAAGGGATTGATCCAACGAGAGGATGTAACACTTATAAACATCCACGTGCGTGACACAGAAGCACCTAAACATATGAAGCGGATATTAACAGACATAAAAGAAGAGACTTCCAGGATAACAATAATAGTGGGGACTTTAACACCTCACTTACAGCAAGGGATGCACCAGACAGAAAATCATCAAGGAAAGACAGGCCTTAAAAGACACATCAGATCAGATGGATTTAATAGATAGGTCCAGAACATTCTTTCCCAAAACAGCAGGATACACATACCTTTCAAGTGCACATGGAACATTCTCCAGGACAGATCACATGTTAGGCCACAAAGCAAGGCTTAATAAATTTAAGAAAGATATCAAATATCTTCTCTGACCATAATGGTCTGAGACTAGAAATCGAATACAAGAAGAAAACTGGAATAAAACACAAATCTGTGGAGGCTAAAATACATGCTCTACTATCCTTCTGGAAATCTAGGAACGCTGAGCAGCGGGTGTCCAGAGAGAACCCAGAGACATCAGTTCCCGGTTGGAACTGTGCACTAGACAACAGACCGGCCCCAGGGATCCTTGGGAGAGCAGTTATGTTGAAAACAGAAGCCCCACGAAAGAAGCTTTGCCGCCCCTTCTTTCTCCATATCATTTGTAAATATTATTCAGGTCCTTTTCTGGGAAGTGTGTCTGTCCCCAAATTCAGACGTTTCCAAGAAATTCAGAGGGAAATGGAGGACATTAAAGGCCCACAGTCCGATTCCATTAAATTAAGCTTCTAGACACTCTGGATATGCATATATACATGACTCTCAATCAAGAAATACAGTCTCTCCTCAGGACGCTCAGTGAAGCAGGTCAGATAAACCCAGAAGTAATTACATCACGGCAGGAAACACTCAGAAATAGAAACGGTGCAAAGCACAGAACTGGTGGCCAAGAGGAAGTGGTTAACTGCTTGGGGTAAGATGAGGTTTGGCTCTCATCTGGGAATGATGAGTCTTTCATTTCCGATGGGAGCTAGGACAGCACAGGAGTATGACCGAAAAGGGGAAAGGAACAAGATAAGGCCTACCATCACCCCAGCTTGCTACCAGAAAACACTTTCTAGATGGTGAGGACTCGAGCTATGGGCCCCTTGAGTCTGTTGTTGACTACTAAGCCAACAGTGACTAGGGTAAAAATCCATGAGGCTCGGCAAAGAAATACAAGGAAGCTTTAAATGGAATCATTCCCAGAGCTCACGTGGAACTGGGAGGTGTTTAAGTTCCAACTAATACAAACGAAGAAACAAAAGAAGTTAGACCTTTGTAGTAGGCTAACCTAGCCAGTAAAAGATGCTTTATATCTGTCCCAACAAGCTTTTAAAAAAGCCTCAGATGGATCAAGCTGATCCACAAATAGCTGCCTACAAAAGAAAAGTCAACACTCCTGAAAAGAAAAAAGTTGAGATTCAGTAAGTCACGATGCCCGGCATCCTTTAAAAGTTCCTAGACATTAAAAAAAGAAAAACGTGACCCATAACTAGGATAAACTTCAAGCATTAGGAAAACACGTCGAAGCAGCAGCAAAAGGGAGCAAAGACAGAATCCTGGGAAATACCCAGACACGATTTACACGATGATAAGAAGGACCTGACAAGAGTCACCTGAAAGGTAGAATACGAAATATTCAAAGCATCAGAAGACTTGTTGAGTTATAGAAGTCGCATAGGGAAAAAGTTTCAAAAGCAGGTAGCGGCCGACAAGGCGATCAAACAAGACAGAGGCTGAATGTGTCTATGACACTGCGCAAGGGTACACCTTCTAAGCCTGATCGGGGCACTTCCAAGGCATGGGCTGTGGAATAAGCCAAATCGCAAAGGATTCGAGGAGTAAGATGTGAGGAAGGAGAGACGCTAGTCATTTCCTTAAGGCAAGACTGTCTGTGACCCAGGGTAGGCAAATACGTGTACGTTTTACCTCTGAAAGTGTTTTAAAAATTCTACGACCTTCTTTAGCAATGTCTCCTTTTTCTTAGTCACATTTCTTCCCAATACGCAAACAACTCCAAATAAGAATTATAAAATTAAAATTATTACCAAAAAAGGTATTCAGCAGCTTCTGAACCTGAATATTGCTGCCCACGGTACGGTACAATCCCTCCGTCTTGATCCCTAGGGAGAGAAGAGCAGGTCAATGTTGTTGGCATAGCCAGCGTTCTCCTGTACCCCAAATTTCCTTCTTCTTCTATGTGTCTCGTTAATGAAGGTTCTCCTGTTGCAACAGTCTGAATAAAATCATCCCCTTAATCGGTGCATTTGTCTTTGACAAAGCTATAGTAATCAAAACAGTATGGAGTCAGATCAAATAGAAAGGTCTCCCCTCTCTCTCCAAGCTCTCCAGCTGTCCCCCATCCCCACTGTTGGGGCACAGCCCCAAAGCATCTCTCCTAATTATTCTCTTCGTACTTTCACTTGGATAGTACCAAGTCCTCATTAGCCTGAACAGAAGAGAATACGCTCTATGGTAAATAGAAAAACGTGCTGAGGTGGCTAGCAGCGGATTGCTGAGAACACGCTGCCATCTTGGAAACGAACTAAGATCTAACTGAAAAAAGAAGGAACTATCAACCTTCAAGACCATTTTGTGCATGGAGAAAGTCAAGGCAACATTTGAAAGGAAAAAAAAAAGAGACTTGGCTCATACACTACACCTGCTACATTCTCAATATTCTCGGGGCAAAACTAGATGGTGCCGTCAACCTGGAAAAACGCTGATTCCACATTCGTCTGAGTTTAGCTTTGTCCCCATCAGTTTTTAAACCGATACGTATTGTGGCAGAAACTGAGCTCCTGTTTGTTTAGGAATGCATCATAGCACTACTTAAGGAGTGTCGGGTAGTATTTAACAATATTACAATATTTCTAAGCCACTGAAGCTATTTCTCTTTCCAAGTAGGAAGCCACAATTTATGCAGGTATGCGCGGGTACCACTGGTTTGGAATTCGCTGAAATTTTACAAACTGTGTCTGGTTTACAAGGTTTGTAAACAGTCTCCATTCCTAAAATGGGTCCCGACCAATAGATGATGCCGTTGCTACTTTCGAAAACCTGCCCTGAATGAGTCCAGAGACACCAGGTCCACACACTGCCCAGGCGACAGCTCGTGATCTTACCTTTGGTCTCAATGACATTGATGCACTTTCTAACGAACTTGAACCCCATCTCATTCAGCTCCACTGTTTCAAGTAAAGGAAAGCAGAGTTAAATACTGTCATAACAAGCCTCGCCCATCAAACATTCAACTAACTATCAAGCTGAGGGAACTAACGGTTTGGCTGCTTATCTCGAATCAGCCTAAACAGAAAGGTCCTTTTATCGGAGGGGTGGTTAGCGTTTCCACTCTTTATAACACAAAATGCTCTCAGCCATGTGCATTATGCCTGCTCTAGGCCCCAGCAAGATGACACATGAAATCTTAGGCTGGAAATGCACGCGATTTCCATCATGTGTCTAGAACAGGGAGAATATAATGTGTTTCTCTATATTACTACCTCTACCCCCCAGAAGCTAAGACAAGGTGACTTCCTTAGTTCTATCAACGGACATATTTTTTTAAAAATAGGTCTGAATTGCATTCCACACAGCGGCATCCACAGACACACTTGTGTCGATATCACATATCACTGATGACAGCATTTACTATGATTAGAACAGCTGGCCGTTGATAATGTCAATCAGAAATTTGACTCACTTTCTTCCTGTTTTGTTATGGGGCTGTGGTAAATCTACAAAAAAAAAGAAACAGAAAGTGAGAATCACTACAGGTTAAGCATGGCGAATAATATTAAATCAAAACCATTAACGACTCAAAGGTGTAAACGAGAAGGAAAAGTGGGTGAAACAAAATCATCTTGGTCCAGGTCCCCAGGAAACAGCGGGACTAACAATTCCTAAGACGACACTGGATTCCAGAGAGCTCACTGCAGCTGAAGTTGTAGCCTTGTCAGATATTTAACTGACGTAATGCTTGGAGAGTTTTTCTGACGGCGCAGGAGATCATTCGAGAAAAGAAGTGCTTCTCTCACGCATGTCTAGGTAACGGGCATTGATGGCAAAATCGAAATGTTCTCGATACCAGCCCCTCAGAACCCAGAAGCTAGTTAATAGGTGTTTGTCTATGACAAGGCAAGTGTCCGCCGAGAAAAGAGATCTGTGCGTTGGCCCCGAGTCCTCTGAGTCATTTTAAAGTACACAGCGCGATAGCTCTGTGACAGACCAAGAGGAGGTCTTTGCCTCCTGAAGTCTAGTCCTGGCTCTGTCTCTACCTCATCTGAAAACCTGGGCAAGTCCTTTCACTGCACAGACTTCAAAAGTCATGTTTCTAAAATGATCGGGGTTAGAGCAGACATTCCTTCAAGTCTTGGTCTTCTGCGACACTCTAAGCAAAGGCACGCATACCACGTGGGAGACTGATCAGGGTGTTTAGTAAAGCAGCAACGACGTTAGCAACGCGTGGCTGCAGGAAACAAGCCATCTGCATGCCATTAATACTCTCACAGGTATCTCAGTGAGGGAGGTCTCTGTGCTGGCCGGCCCTTGCTGCCGCTTTTATAAACAAGACATTTGTGTAAAGTGTGCCATAGTGAAGCTGCAGGAATCCACACTCGGTAGGGGCCAGCACAGGGGCCTCTCCTGCTGCCTTCTGGCTTGGCTTGCTGTAAACGTGATCTGGGATGCGCACCCTCCTCTTTCGATTCGGGGTGCTGCGGACCCACGGAAAGAAAACCCTGGAATATGCTTCCTCATCTTAGCAAGTTTTTGCCTTGAATGACGCAAGGAGATTAGACCATGTCCAGATACTGTTAGATCTCACTAGCTTCGCACCCACCCTTCACACTAGTTCGAAGCAGCTAAAACTAATAGATCCCATGATGGCTGACAGACTGGACGTCATCTGATTTTTTAAGCAACAGTGTGAGGGAGGCAGGACAGAGACTGTTAAAGCCATTTCACTGAAGAGAGGAAAATGTGAAATAACTCGCCCAAGGTCACACAACCAGTGAATGGCAGAACTAAGATCCAAATCTAGGCTTTTAGGATTCCCACACAGGAAGCTAATATTATTTCACCCCCTTGAACTCAAGTTGCCTTAGTCCTTAAACAAGAGATGTCAGATCAACAACTACCTAGGACCCTGTCATTGTCCTGGACCCTCTGGTCCCACTAGAGGGCACTCACGCGCTGGGCTGCGCTGTCACCGTGTCCCCAGGGTCTGAGGTAACTCACCGGCTCTTTCCCGTCCATTGCCTCCATCCACAGCCTTCTGTTAGCTTCCGAAAGGGCCTGCAGAGTGATGGTTCCAGGTCTAAGGAAGAAATAAGACAAGCTGAAAGCACAAACCCACCCGAGACAGTGGAAGCCTGTGATCTAGGACCCACCGCAGGCCTGCGAGGTGTCACGCTGAGCAGGCGCAGGCACACAAAACTCTAATTTTTCCAAATCCCTTTTCCTCAGAAAAATAACAGAATGTTTAGAGAATAGTGACTCCGGGAACCCGGGGAGAGGTGGCATCTAGGTGGCTTCATGCCAGGGTCTGGCAAGGAAACAGAAAGGCAGGTGCCAAGACACCTCGCCATAACATACACATAAAGTGGCCCCACCATGCTTAGCCACACTGAGGTCCTCCCCGCCTCCCTCACCTGGAAGCCGGCCATCTGGCCTGGGCTCTTCGGGAAAATGGCTGTGCTGCCTTCACCACTTAGGACGCCCAGGAGCCTTTCCAGCTGGAAAGGGTTCAACAACACGCACGCTGGGTCGGCCCCAGTGGAAAGGCCTCTCGGCTGAGACCGAAGCGGTGTCACGACTAATAGTTACGACGGATACTTACTGACTGAGTGCTACAAGGCCCCGGGTCATGGCCAAGTACTTTATAGGCATTAACTTCTTTAATCTACCCAGGAAACCTATAAAGCAGGTTCTATAATAACTCTTATTTCACAAAAGGGGAAACTGAGGAACAGAGCAGTCAGTCACCTAAGTTCACGTAATGGGTGAGTATAGAGCCAAATTTTGAATTTAGTGATTCTTGTCCAGCAGCCGTAACCTTTCTTAACCACTATACCACAAGGCACGTTTTGCGTGGCAGACGGCCTCAGACCCAATTTCATTCGATTTCCTTGCGGGATACCTATACCCGGAGGTACCTCACCTTGCTATCCTATGTACCATCTCTTTAGACCTTCCCAACCAAACTGGAAATCTGCGATCGACCATATTATTGCCAACTTAATGTCTCCCTGCATTTTCTGCCACGCTGGGCCATTACGAGAAGCTCGTTCCTCTCACTGTGTTAAGATGAGACCTCTCTCAGAATCACGAAATGATGAGATCGACGACGAGGTCCCTTCCAGTTCTGACATCAGGGATGCCTGTCCCCCGCCCCGCCCTTCTGTGTCTTACTTCTTTAAAGCCAGCATCAACTGAAAACCAGGACTTGGCTTCAGGTGCTGGATTCTTTCAAGGTGACCTTTCTCTTAGAAATACCCAATCTTTTGTATGTATTGTATGGGGTTTTATAAAAGGTCTAGAAATCTTCGTAAAGACAGCTATCCAGCTGAATTCCTGAAGCCAGAAGGAAGGCGGGCAAGCAAATAGGCCACGGACAGAAATACAGGCACTGAACACCAGATAAAGCATTAAAACCATTCTGTAACTTAGCTTCCCTATCCGGGAAATCAAAAAACCAGCGTGTGTCCTTGCTTGACCCTACAGAGAAGCTGAAAGAATAAAGAAGTGACTATTCAGGAAGCATGTGGAGATTCTTGGGTGCTACAGAAAGTCACACTCAAAGAACAACACTGTCATGAACAGGATGACAAAGTAGAGACAGCAATGGTTTCCAGTCCGAGGGTCTTCCACGATGGCCTGACACATCCTTTGCCCCACCCCCTGAAGTGCCAGTCACCCATCTGGAACAAAAAGGCATAACTGCAGTGGTGAAGGGTGTGGGCCTGGACCCTGGAATGCCTGGACTGCACCCCGGCTCTCCCATTTTCTAGAAATACGAGTAGGAAAACTACTAAAAAGTTATCCTCTATTCCTGAAATAGACAAGAAGACCCAGAGGCCTCGCTCGCTGCTGCAGGGAACACGAGTGCAGGTGCTCGGCACCAGTTCATGATGCTATTAGACCATCCAGTTCACAGCATATTTGTTCTGCTTATAATAGACAGTGGAACAAAATCAAAAGGAACATGAGTTTTGGAGATGCCTACGGAGCAGGGTTTGAGCTCAGCCTTGCCATTATGTGACTTTGATTGGCAAGTCGAGTAAACAGATTCGAGTCTCGGTCTCCTCACCTGTGAAATGGGGGAGGGGATTAAAGGAGGGCATACTTTTTCAAAGTGCCCCATATGTGGTAAGTAAAATCACAGACACATCAAAACCTTGACTTTTGGGTTTCAGGCTCAGAAACCCTCAGCATTCCAGGGTAGTAAAAACATACATTCAAAAATGAACACCCAATTTCGTAGCTACCAGGAGCCATGCACACACAGCACTAAGGTGCAAGCTACATAAGTATGAGCTGGTCCCCGCTCCTAACCTCAGGGCCAAATTATTCGCAACTGCTTTGAGTCTCTGGGAATATTATTTGCAAGTAGCTTGCAAATTTAAGCTGAAAAGGGATGCAGAGGCAGAAAATTTTAATTTCTCTGAAGCACCTTGATATGGCAGAGCCAGACACACTAAAGGTTCATGAAGGAGACAACAGCCAGTTTCCCCTTCCTGCTGGGCCTGCAGCTGTCGGGAACATGAGTGGCAGTGTCACAGGTCCCAGCAACAATCTCAGCCATCTTTGACTGGGATCATTCATTTTTAACAACTATTTCATATGGATTCACAAGCAGAAGTTTAAAATGGGGAAAATGACTAGCAGTTACTTAATCGCAGACCATCCCAAAAAAGCCCTCGTCTCTTAGAATTAGGTTTACAATTCAAGTCACTGAAAGTCCTGTTCGTGTGATATTGTAATTCGACCTTCAAGCTCCTTTTCAGTATTCTGATCATTTTATTAAATTCTATTCTATTACTCGGTGCCCAATAGAAACCGACTGAAATAAAGTATAGCAACACCTTTATTCACTGAATTTTAGATCAACCTCCCACCTACATAACATGCCAAGGTAACTCCAAATGCTCTCATTTTAAAACTTAAAGGTTAAATTCCCTCTGATAAAATCGCCCAGGTTCAGAAAACAAAAAGAAGCCCTGGAGAGAAACAAACACAGCCATGTTCAAAGTTTGTAAGCCTCAGCTGAAATCAGAAAGTTGATAAACTATTTCCACTTGACATAAACATCTGCAAAGTAGGGGAAGTCTGTATGATGTTTGCGCCAATGGGGGAGGGGAAGGCTCCCCAGTGTCACTATGTCCCTCCATCATATCTGTCTCTCCTTAAAGATGTGTTCTAGTACGTTATATTGGACATCAAAAAAAGAATGAGTCTCGTTACCCTGTCCTTGTTGCCATGTCATCAAATGCTAGCTTCCTGCAACTCTGGGAGCAAATTACGTGCTAGGAATGGCCGTTTGCTGACTGACGCTCACAGAGAGACCCGGCACTGGGTGGGGTGTAACAGGGACCCCAGGAAGGGCAGCCAGAAGAACAGAAACAATGATGTCATGAACTGCTTCGCTCATTTTCATGAACAAGAGTTGACAAAGGAAAATAAAGACCTACCATGCTCAGCACCTGGCACATGGGGACACTGCCAAGTCACCCCAGCACAGCTTACCTTTCATTAGTTTCTATATCAAAACAGAACCTCTTGTCAATGGACTCCGTCTTCCTTCTCACGCAGTACTTCAGGGTTAAGTCCATGGTCCCCTGGTACAAGAGAAGGATTAATAGGCAGTTTGAATAAAAATGTACAGAAGCTTCTTCTGCGTCCTGCAGTGTCCTCAGTGTGATTTGGAAGGCATCTGTCAGGGCAGCAGGAGCAATGTGTAGCCTCCCGCAGAACCTTGTCCCTTCAAACGGTAGTCGCATCAAGATGGCAGATGGTTTCTCCCTGCTCCAAGAATCACTGAATGGCCGGGGCCGGGAGAAAATACCCAGCGTAGGCCATCGCTCGTCTCCAAGCGTGGCTGATTAAACAGGTAGCTCATTACACACCGTGTAAGTGGGGTGCAGGAGAAGTAGGGTGCCCGAATGGCATAAAGCGTACAGAATAAAATTTTCATGACACTCCTAGGTAGGGAGGCTGCAATGGCTAAGTGGCTTTCTGCAACTGTCCTCCCATTAAGTGGCAGATGGAGGAGGAGAGGCAAACGTGTCTGTTCCCCACCTGCAGACTCTTGAGGAAAACAGGAATTACAAAAGCGACCTCGCCAAACGCGGGGCAGGAGCAGGGAAAATAAGCCCATGTGTGTATTAGTTACGGTGGCATTTGGAACCTTGGCATCCCCTGGTCTCACGCCATTCAGTTTCCCTCTATTATCTCGACAGAGACAATGTAGTATAGGAAAGAGAAAAAGCGTGAATCGATCACCTACCAGGTACCACATATTACACTAGGTATTTTTAAACCAGCTCGGAGGGAGGTGATGTTCAGGGAGCTAAGATGGCTTCCCCAAAGTCACCGCAGTTGGCATCGCAGAAACAGCAACAAACCGGGGAGCTCGCATCCTTCCCCAGCGCCGTCCACCGCCCACTACGTGTTCTGCACATTCTGTCCATATTCTGCTTCCATGTCTGATCTCCCTACCTAACCTGGAACATCTCAAGGACACGGCCAGTGTCCTATTTATCTTTACGTGTCTAGTACCGAGTAAAGGCTGAGTGCTCAATAAATGTATACGAACGGCAGCTCCATCTTTTCTATTTTCCTGATAAGGAAAACAATACTGGGCAACGAGTAATTTAGTCCAGATCAAAAAGCTACGAGGCGCTCCTGACCTCTTACCCCGAACGCCTGGCGGGAGAGGGATGCGAATCTTATCAAAACCCTGAAGGTGGTTTGTAAAGTCAGCACAGAACATATTGGACGTCAACAGGCCGAACTCATAGGAGACACTGGGAAGAAGCACAGTCAGAGAGAAGGTATTTCCTCCATCTTCGAATTCAGCTACCCACAGCGCCTGGCACACGGCAGATGTTCGCCGAATGGTGGCTTTTATTTTGTTGTGATTTTTACCTCGCTTATTTATGTTATTTGCCTTTCCAAAACACAAACTAGTAACAGGAACTAAGTCACAGAACTGGCAAGAAGAAGCCACTTCCAGCTCCGATTGAGGGGAATTCTGCCTGTTCTGGAAGGAATCCCGTATTCAGACCGCTGAGATTCACACGATTGCCATTTTCCAGGCAGCCACTCAATCAAAAGGGAAGGGGGGACATCTGCTAGGAGGATCTGAAAGTGGCATCTGCCGCCTCTGCCTGGCACTGTGCAGGCGGCACTCTGAGCAGGATGGAGGGGCGTAAGTGGGGTTGGTATCTAAGAGAGGAACTTTACAGTCTGGGATCTGGAAAGTAATGTGTCTATCAGAAGAAAAGGAAGAGGCTACAGGGCACGCTTGCCTACGGGGACCTGCGCGTCAGAGGCGTCAGCTAAGTTATGACCCAACTGGAATGTGCTCTGTGCAGCAACACGACGTGCATTTGCTGGAATCACCTGCAAAGGTGTGTTCGTAATTGGCAGACTGGAAACTAAGAAGAGTTTTGGAGTCATGAAAAGTAACTGCACACACAGAAGCGTGGATGGGGGTTCGATGCACTTCGGGGTGTATCCCGTCTCCAAACCACATTCAAAGCAGACTGGCAAAACTCGTGGTTAAACAACCCCAAAAAGCGGTTCTTCAACAGTCTGCCACTAAATCTTGATCCACTCGAATTTCCTATAAATAAGCTACACGAGAGAGATCTTCCACAGAAAATGTCAGCAATGCGGAAAAAACGGGCCCACTTTTTCTGCAAATTCCTGCCTACCTAAAAAGAGTCTTCATGTATCACAATTTTGGGTGCTAATAAGTGAACATTGTTTCATTTTGCAAACGACTTGTGAAGAATGAAAACCCTTAAAAATCATGCCCGAGACCTTGCCTGAGAAACAGAGACAATTAAAAGGACAAACCGAAGTACTTTAGAATATAAACAGTCTCCCTTAACAGCTTTTATCTTAAGAAACCCTCCAGTGAGTGTGTGTGTGTGTGTGTGTGTGTGTGTGTGTGCGCACACGCGTACATATTCCCAAATTTCCCAAAATTCCTACAAACATAGGCAAAAGTGAGGTGACAATTCATTCTTTGGCTGCGCGGTCTACCATAACACAGCACAGTACAGCGGAGCACGGCACAATGACCGTAACAACACAGCATAACACATCATAGCGACAGACAAAGATTCTCCAGGTGAGTAAACCATCTTCTCAGTGTGTCAAAACCATCCTGCCATTTGGGGATCGGGGGAGGTTTGGAGGGAGGAAGAAGCAGCAGTAACTGCTTAAAGATTTGAGTGTTACACAGGATGTGGGGTATAGGTTATTCCAACGTTAGGCAACAGACATACAATTTTAAAAAAGAATTTTGGAAAACGATTTACGCTTTAAACATTTGCTCTTTAAAGGAATCCTACAGTACAACCCTTTGAAAAGTAACGCTCTCCTCCCCCGATTCATCTTTGTTTTTGCCAATTTTCTTGGTACAACGTGACGGGCACTTATAATAATTCAGTAAATGGTCTGATGCCATTAACAGAAATCTTTCACCCAACTGAGTAGTATCTGGCCCAATGCAAACTGAGGTCAAGGAGAACAGGTGAGGTCATGGCTCCACATGACAGTGACGGACTTGATTCTTTGACACTAAGTCAGCCTACACTCTTTTCTGAGGTGCAGTCACATATGCATTTCAAAAAAACGTGGCACACAGAAGAACTGACCTGCTTAGCCCCTGGCTTCTGCTCCATAGGCGTCATGGTGAGAGTTCTGGTCTCTTTCTCGTACTGGCAGTAGTATTTCACCCAGGATATTCCCAAAGCCCCTACGAAGACAGACAGCAGTGAGCTGACCAGTTAAAGTTTCGGCCGCACGGTCGGTCCACCCCTAAGGTGGAAGCTGTGCACAGTTTGCTCCTCAGGGTCATGCTCCCTCTCCCCCGAACTTCAGCCCCACAGCGCCACCTGCCCACTGCACATACGGAGAGCCCAGCCCTCGTCCCCCACTTTCCTCACCTGCTGCCACTTGCTCCAAACCACTCACTCGGCCATGTTCCCTGTGAATGCCACCTGTACACATCCTATTGAATGAGCTACAAACATCTGTAATCTTCTGTTCCTACCTCCCCGTAATGTGCTCCATTTGAATGGTGGTTGGGTTTTACTCAACCTATCCCCTAAATCAGGGGTCCTCAATCCCTGAGCCATGGAACGGTACTGGTCCATGGCCTGTGAGGAACTGGGCCGCACAGCAGGAGGGGAGCGACAGGTGAGCTAGTGAAGCTTCATCTGTATTTGCGGCCGCTCCCCAGCGCCAGCATCACCGCCTCAGCTCCGCCTCAGATCATCAGGCGTTAGATCCTCATGGGAGCACCGGTCCCTGGTGCCAAAAGGGTTGGGGACCGCAGCCTTAAATGTCTCTCCTGCAGCTGCCTCCTCTTCTCCAACCTTTTTAGAACTAACTTAGTTCAGTACCCTATTCCTGACTTAATTTTTAATGTTCGATGAGATATTTCAAATAAAACACAAAATTGCTATATCTCCAACTAATTATTTCAGTGGCCTTCTCTCTGGTTTCCCTATCTCTGATCACTCCTTTCTAGTCCATTCTCCATTCTTTTGCTAGAGGAATATTTTTAACTATATATCTCTATTGATGTCATTCCCCTTATTATAAACCGGCCGTGGCTTGTCCACCGCTATCTCCACACTCCTTAGCTCGGCCCACACACCCTTCACGATGACATCATATTTACCTTTTCGACGTTGTTTTTTGCAACTCTCACCTCCATTCTCCTCTCCCACTGACTTACTTTCAGTTACCAATAGGTGGCCATATAATTTATAATGCAAATTTAAGACATATTTAAGAGTGAATGGGGTACTAGTAATAATTACAAAGAAACTATGTCCTCACATGCCTTTGTGCCTTTACTCATGCAGTGGTAAAACCTGGAATTTTCGATCCCCCTTTTCTTTACCTGTCAAGATCCCACCCATAATTCAAGTTCCAGTTCAAACATCTCTTCCTCAGTGAAGCTTTTATATATATGCCCCAAAAGCAGTGCTCAACACATTTCATTATAATTCTTGATATACTCGTCTGTCTTCATCAACAGACTGTGGACTTCTTGAGGGCAGTAACAAAAGTTGACTGATTTTTTTGGTGTGCCCAATGCACTGACTATTGTCTGGAAAAAAAGGTGCTCGCTGAGCATACATTCGACTGAGTAGCAATGTCAAATCCATTTGACAACTTAGAGAGCTGGGACCGAGAAAGATCACATAGCTAGTTGATATTAGAGCCACGATTACAAACCCACTATTCTGTAGCTGTTTTATAATATAACAGTGCTTCTCAACCAGGGACAATTTTGCCTCCCAGGGGACATTTGGCAATGTCTAAAGACATTTTAGGTTGTCACACCTGGGGAATGCTATTAGGATAAAGTGGAGAGAGGCCACAGGTGCTACTAAACACCCTATAATGCACAGGATGCCCCCAAATAAAGAATTACTCAGCCCAAAATGTCAATAGTGCTGATACTGACATCCTGCAATGCAGAGTTGGAGGGATCAACCTGACAAGGGGAAGTCTTTGAAAATCATCAAAAGTTAATAGCTCTAAAGGAGGAACAGCATTGCTGCAATATCACGCTTTGCGAAATGCAGTGGTTTTTGCCACTGGTGACCTCTGGGTAGCCTCTTCTCCCTACTCCCCAGGTAGAATAATCCTGGGTAGGGACTGAAAACGCAGGCTTTATGGGAACTGGGTCACAGTTCACAAGGAAAATCAAATAACACATACAGCTTTGCATACTGTAATTTAGGAGGCAGGAAAGCTCGCATCGCCTGCAATATTCAATGACTGGATAAGCTAATCCATTTTCCTAGGTCACCAACGAACGACTATCTTGCCCAATGAAACCACAGGGACGTTCAGTGCTTTAAGGCCAACCACGTACCCCTAAGGCAGTGCAAAGTATGGGCTGCAGTGACAAGAGCGTAGGTCCTGGCATCACACAGTCCTGAGTTTACTCTTAGGCCTGCTATCTGAGAGCTGGCTGACTTTCAACTAGCGATCTAAGCCTCAGTGGCCTCCTGCGTAAAATGGGAATGATGAGGTGGTTTCAAAGATTAAATGAGATAGCACATTAAGCACTTAGTACCATGCCTGCACAGAACAGGAATAATAAATATTATTCTTCTACCTCCTACTCCTTATCTGCCTTTTTTTTACCCTACCTGCCTTTTTGCTCCAAAGAGTCATCAAAGGGATTAAACGGTTAATAATCCCCATTTTGAATCTCAGAGAAAACCTGAGGTCTTATCTTCCCAGAGCCTTTGTGAGGCAAATCTTTAACCTCTCCCTCCAATTTCTCCTTCCTTTCTATTTTCTATCTCCAGACTGCTCTCCAAAGAGATGTGGCTGTCAGGGGTCTTTAACAGTAAGGGTGTCCGGAGTTTGAGGAAGCCAGGTGGCACTAGGTGCCAGCCCACTGAAACCCAGTGGTCCCTAGATTGCATTGCACACACATTTCTCTTGCGTATAGAGATAGCCTTCAATGGTGGGCTGCCCTGGGAGTTTGCACGTCTGGGGAGCCTCTTTCATCCTTTCCTTAAGTTCTTCCATCTCTTCTCGAGTGCTGGAGAAGTGATTCCTTGTCTGTGAAGACATCATCATCATCATCATCATAACACCATCATCACGAATAAGCACTTTTTCTTGGCTTACATATGTTTCAACACAGCAAAAAACAAATGTCGAGTGACATAGTGACTAGAAAATGGTTTTATGGAGTTTAACAGTACTAAAGGCTAAACGGGAAACAAACGTAAACAGCAGTGTACCCATAAAACCACATTTGGGACACTTGTTTCTAATGGGAATCACATGAGCGTCCCACAAATAAGGGCTCTTGGAATTGTGAGCATGACACTGACCGCGGCTTCACAATAGCGGGGAGACTGTAGGGGACATTCAGAAAGATGACATTATCATGGCAACTTCTAAGCCCAGCTTCAATAAACTCACTGCTCACTTGACTCTGAATCAAATTCTGGCCATTAGGATAAAACACGCGAGAGGGCGTTCTCTTTGAAGATAGACCAACAGAGAACATATGTTTTCTTAACCACGAAGAATAAAAGCTAATTGTAAAAAGTAATATCGTAAAACTACAAAACTAAACCACAATGGCCAAGTGCAGTTTAACGCGTGGGTCTGAAAGTCATTAGAGGTCCTTAGTGTTCAGTCTCAAAACTGCCACACGATGGCAGCGGCAGTGAAAAAGGTGACCTGGGCTGCTGTGTCTAGTTGAGCCCACTCTACTCATTATGCACTGCGACCCACCAACCTCTTTCGTCTACAAATATATGTATAAATTCCATGTCACGTAACTAGTCCAAAGTCACTACCTCAGTGATGCTTTCTCTGATGGTACCGGGCGGTCAACTGTTCACCTCCCTGTGAGTGTTCAAAACTTTTGGCCTTAATATTACTATAACCTGTATCATAAGGGACTATGATTTATCTGTGATTATGTCTTTCTCCTCCGAGAGACTATATTTCCTGAAGACAAAAAAAATGAACATGCCTGGCACAGACTCTACGTTCATTATATCCATAAGCATTCATTAAACGTGGGTTAATTAAATGAATAAGAAGAGAAACATATATGACGAAAATGAGAAGGATGTGCCTAGGCCGATGGATAAGAACCAGCATGGGAGAGAAGGTGGAGAAAGTCTTTAAAAACTCCTTTATTTTTTTATTAAATTTATCGAAGTGACATTGGTTAATAAAATCAGGCAAGTTTCAAGTGTACACTTCGATGATACACCTTCTGTGTGTCGCACTGTTCACCCCTCAAAGTCAAATCTCCTTCCATCACCATATATTTGATCCCCTTTACAATGAGCCACCTCTTACTTAACTCGAGTAATAAGTCATGAGAAAAGGAAGAGGGGAAATGGCCATTTGTGGAGATAAAACCCACAATGACGGTGTCTTGACTGAC